GGGGGGGGGGGGCTGCTGTCCTCACTGTTTGAAGTAGCAAACTAGGACATTGCCCATTCAAAGGTCTTTTACACACCTTTGAACCGAATCAAAAGTCACAAGCCAAGAACAATGTAAAAAGCCAACGAGTTGTTTATTATAGGTCTATGGAGTTTAGGTTACAGGTTGGATACTGGGAACAAAAGACAGTTCATCTGTTGCTTCGGTTTAACTGCGGACTCTATTGACATGTACAGCCTAACAGCAGAATCAGCTACCATGCTTCTCGCTAACAAGCCACGGTTCCTTTCAATCATTACCGTTTCTTTGCACTTCTCATACAGACTACGCAAAGGAAAGAAAAACAACAAATATTTACAATTTGTAAAAAAAAAAAAAAAAAAAAAAAAAAAAAAAAAAAAAAAAAAAAAAAATAAATCACAGCACAGATAAAATGCACAGCCCTGAATAAAGAAATCTCGCAACATCTGCCCCGGGGCTGGCAAAAGGTTTTTTTTTCTCCTTTAAAAGCACGTCATTTAAAAGTGTGAAAAAAGCATAATGAAATATACAACGAAAGAAATAAAAACAGATGATTGAATGAGACTGAACCCACGTTGTACCCCATGTGTAGATGGATGTAGGAAGCCTCAATTACACTCAGGTATCTGGTCTCCACCCTGATGTGGAATGTTGTTGCTCCATATCGCGTTAGTCTTCATTGTCAGTTGGTGGGTTGGAGATTATTAAAAGTGGGTTCTAGAGAAAGTAAAATCAAAAGAGCGGTGTGGAGGGATGTTCCGTGGCTAGCGGTGGGTCGGCCACCACTCCGTTACAACAAGTGTCTTAGTAATATCCAGGCTGATACTGCTGGCTCCACGGCTTCTGGTTCCAGAACTGTACGGGACACAAGAGACGCACAGCTTACTTTGTGTTTGTACCCAAGTCAAACGGGCTTTCTTCAGTTTCTACTCATTTCAGTAAGTATATCTACATTCTGCACTGGTAGTAAAGGTTTATGGTAGTATTCGTTATTCATGGGAAACTGGGGCAAAATGAGATGAAATATTAAATGCTTATTGTATTTTTCGCTAATGAGGGTAATGGAATCATTAATATCACGCAACATGTGGCCGTGGGTCAAGTGATTCCGTTGTATTCACATCTACATGTAGTGTTTGGGTATCGTGTTCAACGTCGACAGTCTGAAGTCCAGTGTAACTGCTCTTAATACTGACCCCTTGCTGCCAGCTCTGGTTGAAGGCTTGGGCCTTGTCCATGCCGTTCCTGTTGCCAAAGTTACCGCTGTTCCTGTTGTTACCGAAGTTGCCATTCTTGTTTCCAAAGTTGCCAAAGTTGCCACGGTTACCACCTCTCTGCTGGAACTGCTGTGGGAGAGAGGCAGGACAATGATGACCATGTCGCCACCCACAAACAAAACAAAAAACGGATCACATGACAACAGGAAGAAAGTGTCATTATCAAACCCACCTGGTTGTGATGTCCCCTGGATCCACCGCGATGCATGTTGACTCCTCCTCCTCCTCCTCCTCCTCCTCCTCCTCCGCCGCCGCCTCCTCCTCCTCTGCTCATGTTTCCTCGGTTCATTGGGCCACCTCTGTTCATGTGACCCCCTCTGGGTCCCATGTTACCCCTCATTGGTCCGCCCCTGGGAGAACCGCCCAGGCTGGGGATGGGGCCACCGCCCCGGTTGAAGTTGCCACGGTTATGGAACCCTCCCCTGAAGGCTTGGGGAGGCAGGAAGCCGCGAGGTGGACGGTTGAAGCCGCCACGGGGGCCAGGGGCTGCAAAAAGATCAGGAGCAGTACAAGTTAGCATGAATGCAATAAATGGTCTTTACAACAACAAGAATACATATATTCTATGAATAAAATGGTGATTACATCCCAAATATAATACTACCTCCTCTGAAGTTGCCTCTGTTCTGGAAGCCTCCGCGGCCACCGCCTCTAAGTCCGGGTCCACTGCCACGGCCAAACTGGTTCTTGCCCCCCCGGCCGCCGCCGCGCAGGCCGCCACCTCTTTTTGGTGTTGTGCTCCCCTGGTTGGGCTTCTTCTCGGCCGGCAGAGCCGTCTTGCTCTCTTCTTTGTACTGTTCCAGCAGCTTGCCGGCCTCCTCCTTCTGCAGCTCGGCAAAGACGACGTCGCTGAAGCTCTCTCCCTCCTCAGGCAGAGAGTAGAAGCCTGACATGGAGGGAAAACAAGGGACGTGATAAGGAGGAGAGACTCACCTGAATCAGACAGAAAAACAAAGAACAGTAAAGGTTTTATTGATTTCTACTACCATGTATTTTTACCTTTCATTTTGAAGACAGCATGCTCAGGCACTTCTTTGCCATCACTCTCGACCTTCTTCTGGACTCTCTGCTTGTAGTCGTCGTCAGAGGGGCAGACCACCACCGCCTTGCGCTGGAAGCCTGCAAACAAGCACATCTTTCTCTTCTGGCCTGGGGCCGACAGGTTGGTCTGGGGGAAGAGAAAGAGGCTCATTGGTACTGGGTTTTTATAGCGTTTGATTTGAAGGTAATCTGTAGAACTAAATAAAACAAATCCAGCACAAGCCACTTACATGATCCAGGATGTAGTTTCTCTTCTTGCGGGCGGCGATCTCAATGAACTTTCCCAGGAAAAGAGGTGCTCGCTGGGAAATTGCGCTCAGTTTTGTGATGTCTTTTGACTGGCGCTTCAGGCTGTTGATCTGTATTAAATGATTGGACAAAATACAATGTCAACATATTAAACAGTAGAGACAGTATGAACTAATGAAAACAGCAGCTGCATCAGGACTGACCATCATCTTGTCCACAATGGTGTCACTGCCCAGGATGTAGTACTTCCCAGGGTTCTCCTGGACATGGTTCTTCACCCATGTGGTCTTCCCTGAGCCTGGCAGGCCGACCATCACTATGATCTACATGACATGAAAGGCCAAGTTACATAAAATCACTATACATTCTGCTGAATATTAGTTACAAACACACTCCATGACTAATCAAAGGAATTACATTACTATGCTTACCTCGCAGTCAGCCTTGGTCTGGGGCCCCTTGAGCCCCCGGACTCTGTCGTCCACGGGGATCTGCTGCATGAAGGTGTAACCCTGGGGCAGAGAGAAGTACGGAGTCTCCATCTGGCCAAAGTTGAACTCCACAGCACAGTTGTGGCAGATGACGTGGGGGAAGAGAGCCTGGCCATTCAGAGAGTCCTTCTTGACCTGGAAAGCGGCGGCCGGCTCGCCGCCGTTCTTTGAGAAGGACAACACCGCCTCCTCCCCCTCAAAGTCCTAAACAGAGAAAGCAATATGAGAAATTGTGATGAAGACGAGTTGAAATGTGAACAAATGGACCAGCCATTTAGACAAATGACACAAAGTAAAAGTTGGCAGTTCTTTCACCTTCATATTGAGGTTCCTGTTTTTAAGTCCATTACGCTGGCTTGGTTTTCATCTACTTTAATAAACTGACAAAATACAAGCAGCATGCATGTCTTACAATAAGGCAGCAGATGACATCATTCTCCTCGTAGGTTTCTCCAAAGTCCTCTGTCACACAGTTGGTGGTCTTCTTGCCTTTCCCGGAGTATGCATAAGAATGTTCCTCCTCACCTAAACAATTAATGGGAGAAACATGAATTGACAAAAAAAATAAAATAAATAAAAAAATCTATTAAAGAAGCCTTTTTGAGACGTCTAGCAGAAGGAATCTCAGTCACTGGGACTCTTATTATGGTGTGTGAATCATGTGTGTTGGCAATAAGCCAGCCACCATTACCATGATGCAGCCTGAGCTGGAGCCATTTTACATGGCCATGTCATGCTGCTTATGAACCACTAGAGGGACCTCAAGGAAGACCACAGAAGCCTGTTTTTGTATTAATATAAATATATAAAACAGATACTTTGTCAGAGTTTTGCTGTCTTCCAATGAATCCACCGTTAAGTCCATTCAAGATACTGAACAGTATTTGGAGCACTGCAGAATTCTGCATGCATGAAACATATCCTGCACTGGCCTGGTCACCATTTTGTGCATCAGAAGTAATGATATTCCATCATGTTCCAGATAATACTTGAACAGTTAGCTGTACACCACATGTGTGACGTGACAAAATGATTCTGGAAGCGAGTGGAAGAAACGCTGCCACGAGTAAACGGAAAGTTACTACTGGACTCAACACTTCATTCCACGCAGCCAGCAGTATAATACACAGAAGAGTTCAGAGCTAGAGCATACAGAAGACACTGACCGAGGAGGAGGGTGCCAGTAGACAGGGACCAGCCGACTTGCACATCGTGAATCTCCATGTTCTTGCTGGAAATGTGCTTCACGGGAATTTTCTCTGCAATCTGTTGACATGAAGCAAAACACACAAACAAAATATATCAGGACTCGTTTCCACTAGTCCGCTGTGCGTCCATTTTACACAACGCTTGTACACACTGTTGAGTTCTACATGAGTTATAAAACATTCCGGGATGCATTAGGAATGAGAATGTGTTTAGGTCACTGTTACTGTACCTTCATCTCAAAGCAGGCTTTGCCTTTGTTCACACCGTAGGTTCCCTTGCCTCCGGACCAGAGGTAAGCAAAGCTCTCCATAGTGAGAGATGAGGCACTGTAACGGTCCCGTGACACCTTAAAGTGCAGGTCGCAGTTGTCTAGAGCACAACAAAAAAAAAAAAAAGAAAAAAAAAAGAAAAAGAAAAAAAAAAAAAAAAAAAAGAGCACACTCATCAGTATCCAGGTAAATGGGCCTCCGATGAAGAGTGTGGTAATGTTTCAGCTAGTCATCTTTGACTTATAATATTGGATCTTTGAATCAAAGTGGCTTAAAATATTCCTTTAAACCTGTCACTCACAGGTATCCAGGCAGACTTTTGTGTCATCAAACTCCTCATCTTCTTCCTCCAGGGGGGGCACGGGAGACTTAAATGAGGCCCTGCAAAGAGACACCAACCAGTCAGCGATAGGATTCACATGTCGATGCAACTGCATGGAACACAAAAGATGTCTTGGGTACCACTTGCTGAAAAATATTTGGGGAGAAAGGTGGAAAGAGACTAAGGGAAGCAACACAAAATAGGAACAGTAAGTGGGGGAAGCGAGTCTCCAAAGAAGTCTTTATTTTTGGCCTTGGCAGACAGCACTTACCTTCTAGTATCCAGTGAAATCTAAAACGTCTCTCACACACACACACACACACACACACAGACAGAGACAGAGACAGAGACAGAGAGAGAGAGACTCTGCTGTCCCTAGCACTCACTGCTATCCACTGGTCAAAGTGATAGAAGACCTTTCCCCTTTCAGATCAGTGCGTTTATGATCTCCAGGATTGCTGTGGGGTCAGTCAAAGTGACAGCAGGTACAGTTTATTTAACTTCCCATATGTGGAATCCTAAAATGAAAAAGGTCCCGACCGACTCACTGTTCCGAGTGTGAAGGACATGCTTGGCTGCTTGAAATGAGTCATGTGAGCTACAGCAACTTACCAACTCTGTAGCTTGAGATTAGGTACACAATTCCACAACGGGAAGTTTAAGAATCTAGTTCAAAGTTGTAAAGAGTTGCACATTTCAATAAGGCTTCTGCATTGTTTCACCTGATGCAATGATCTATGTCCAGTGGAGTAGTCATTATTCAGCAGGAATCAAATCAAAGATTTGGGCTGATTATCCGCAGCAGTCTCAACATCTCCGGAGACATCTGACATCGTAGTTCTTAAAACAGCCTTGAATGCAGCACGAATGGCTGTGGGGGGGGCTTTATGGTGGCTCTGGAGCAAGTAGCCTGAGGTGGAGTGTATGGTCAGTGCAGTCAGTGAGTGCTGCTCTATAGGTCTATGGCTGCCCAGGGGCCCCAGGCGTCACATAGAGTGGATTAAAGCTCTAATAAAAGATATGGTATTGGGGAAAAGACAGAAAATCGTGACTTTCAAATTGTAAATGAATGAACACTTGCAATAAAATATTTAACTGTCAGATAGGAAGGGGCCAAAAAGGACCTAAAGAGGCAGCACTACCATTTGTATTCAAATAATTCTCCCAGACTTTTCCCGAAGAAAAAAATAAAAAAATAAAATAATAATTTCTGTTTTCTGATGTTGGATTCTTTAAAGTGTGTCAACAGCGCAATGAAAACCAAACACTGACCAAGAAGTAGGTACACGTATGCACACATAAACGTCCACGCACACCATGCATGAAGTCACCTGGGCGGGGGGTAGAAAAGAGTCTTGCAAGCAAACGTCCACGCTCTCACACCATGATAACAAACAACACATGATACATGAGACAGAAATAGCAGTTTGACAGCATACAACCAGTGAAATAAAAAACAAAGCGATAAAAAAAAAAAAAAAAAAAAAAAAAAAAAAAAAGACCATTGCGAGGTAAAACGATGGACGGTAAATAACGAGCTCCTCCGTGGACGTTCCAAACACTTTGGACATTTTGCTACATCCTTGTGTTCTACTCTGCAGCACTGGACCCCTCCTCCCACGCCTCTCAGCTATTCTTCCCCCCTCCCTCCAATCATTCATTAAGAAGTGCACATCTGCTACTTTCCTCTGGGTTCTCTCTTGAGCAGCCTGGCTTCACCTTGAGGACACAACTGGCTTTCCAAAACAATAAGTGGCACGAGGAACAGATGTGAAAATTCAGAGACTTGATAGTTGCACTTCTGCTACAGAATGCAGTCCATTTCAGACACAAATGTGAGTGGGTACTGTCAAAAGTAAGGCTCTTTAAAGTAGTCAGGGATGACCCTCAAAACATGTGTGAAAGTGAGGTAGTTAATAAATAGTATAATACTTGAAAATGAGGGTTTTCCTCATGCTAATTATATGTGCATTGGCACTTAAAGCCAATACAGTTCAACAAAGCTATGGATGGCGCTTCAGGGATGCTAAAGGCCATTTTTGCTCTGTCCCATCCTTACCAGCTGTATTTGTTCTCTTCAATAAATTCAAAGTAGCCCCTTCCATGTTCCTCCCGGCGTCTCTTAACACCCTTCTTATTCTTCTGATCAGCATTCGTGTCTTTGTCCGCATCCCCTTTGAAAATAGAACAAAGATATAGAATGAGGTGTTCCTTTTTGTGAGAGAGAGGTCGGACTGGCAGTGGGGTTCTGACCCACAAAGCCCGTTCATTAGTTACATTGTGTCGACCATAATCATCAATAGTAAGGTAACCAAAGAGGTAACACCTCACGATTACACTTTAATATATATATATACACACACACACACACAATCATACTACATGAATTGTAACAGCTCTAATGACCAGATAATAATTACAATATAGGCTGGTCCAAATGAACATTGTGAACAGTGTTTGCTGGGGCTGGAAAAACAAGTCTCTGCAAAGTAAAGGGGACATCAACTCTGGTATAAAGGGCTTGGAATGTATTGTGTTCAATACGATTCAGATGTTAGCCTATATTATTAAGGAGGACTGATCTACTGCTGTCTAAGGACGAATGCATCATGCAAGGAAATGGGAATGTCTATTTAGACCTGATTGGCACCCCCCACATCTTACCCTGAATTGCCTAGGTGAATCTCACGGTAAACCGACATTTTCTAAATTCATCTAACAAGATGACACTTTCTATCCAACCGACGGACTAACTAACCACGTGCTAAACAAGCAGTTCGACGCCTGGCCCGTCTTCTGCACAGCAAGTGCAGATGTTCCCAGTCTTTTAGGCAAATGCGCTTGGACATAAACACCGAAGGAATTCGTACTAAACTTGGAACTGCCCAATTGTGCCTTAGGAGCTTAGAGTAGCGTAATTAGCAGGATAGAAGCGGATGCTAGGCACCCTGCCATCACCGCAGTGGCATTCCACTGCTTTAAAGTTAGATCTTTATTTAACGTGGGCGCCCCAATTTATTGTGGGTTAAAGAGTAACGTAAAGTGATCATCTTGTTTCACCGCCACCACACTACCAACCAATTTAAAGCCAGACTTCAATGCGGGAACCACTGAACTAGCTAACCGGCGACCGCTAGTTATCACTGCACCAAAGACACAAAGAAAATGACGTTAGCTGGCAAGCTAACACGCTAACCAAGCGAATCGAAAAACCAACTATGCTACGTTAAATCAATGTCTTGTGTTTAACTTCATTCGCATAACGTTTTCAATTGTGAGGAACGATATTCTACCATTACATAAGAATGATAAAGTTAACATTTGTGAACTGGAATATCGACAATACGTTACAAAATGATTAGCGTTAGCTTTAGCCAAGGTGGGGACCGATGCTAACTTGAAATTAGCATGAGCGGCTAGCCGTTTCAGTTTGTGGCTAACGCTTGCTAGTTTAGTGAGGTCACGCTATCGCTCAACATGGACGCTCTGTTGTATGGTAACGGATTGGAATTTAGTCATTCCCAGCCGGCTCCCTCCCGCGGTAGCATTAACGCTGTAGCATTAACGCTGTAGGAAAACCCGACACCCAGCAACAGTCCATCCAGCCAGTCACATTTTCATAACCAATCCGGCCGACTCACCCTCAGCAGCCTGGTCCGCGGGCTCACCATCCTCCGTGTCTATTTTCTCCATGTCGTCGACATCTCCCTTGAGCATGGGATCCATCTCGTCGTCCTCGTCTCCCTCCTCACCCATCTCTTCGTCTTCAGCAGCGCCATCGCCGTCGCCCCCATTTTTAGGCGCTTCTACTACTACTACTACTACTTCTTCTTCTTCTTCTTCTTCTTCTTCCTCCTCCTCCTCCTCCTCCTCGTTGGCCTCCATACTTTCTTCTATCGGGCCCTCGCCTTCTTCTTCCTCACCCATACCCTCCTGGTCGGCGGCCTGGCCGGAACCCTCAGCCGCTGCAGCTTCTTGGTCTAGTGGGGGGTTTCCTGCAAGGGCCTCCTCGTCCAGCGCGGCCTGCAAGCGGTCCATCAGCTCGGCCTTCAGCCCTTTATCCGAAAGATCACGCTTTTTCAGCTCGTCCTTCAGCTCGTTCACTTTCAGCTTTTTGACGTTAATTGAGCTCATTGTGGATGTTTGACTGCAAAATGTATTAAGTAAAATTCACAAATACGATAAATAAATAACTGGACGGGCTTTGTCGACGGATGTAGCTCAATATACTGCGCCAAATGGCACCCGCGCTGTCCGACCAATCTTTCACCGGCAAAAGAGCTGTGCTTATCCCGGGGTGTGGGGGAGAAAGATGACGTCTTACCGTAATTACCCAGAGAGCAGCGCGGCTGGGTTATACAGCCCGCCGACCATCTGTCGCTGGCGTAATAACAAAACCAATCTCATAGAAAGCGGTGATGTGGAAAAAAGTGGGGCAAAATGTGGAGGAAAAATGCAACACTTAGGACACCAAAGATTATACTAATTTTGTCTTTGTTTGCATGATTCACATAGGCCTAGCCTACGTTTGGAAAAAGTAAATCTACTGCATAATATGATAATAAAGTTTAGATGAATAAAGGGGCGATAAAATAGGACGCTATTCAAAATAATAGTCAATACTCTTAACCCTATTTAATTTAAATTTAAAATGGTTCTTGTGCGAGTAGTCTATAATGTATATCTTTCCATGGAGTGAAACTCATGAATTCATTCAACTACACAGTTCGCTATTTTACATTCAATACTGTTATGATTTAGGGTGGCTATTATCTACCACTAAGCCAATCAGGTAGAGGAGGTTCACTTTAATCAGCCATAGTATAACTTTTAATTGATTTGAATCTGTGGTTTCATTTTATCTGCTCAAACATGATGACAGAAGAGTTGAGGACTGTTTACAACTTCTTGTCTATTTCGAAAATACCAAATGATCAAGTCACGAAACAAATGCTGTAATTTTAAGACGTTTTTTCAGTCAATGTGAAAAATGTTGATGCAAAAATATAACAAATAAAAACAAATGTCACTGTGCATAAAGACACCATGGTGATTTGTTGTTTTGTCAACGTTTTAACTAAACAAAACATTCTCAATTTAAAGGGGCACACCATTCACCATTCTGTCAAAACGGTTGTGTAATTGTGACGATATCATCAAATGTATAAATGTAGGCTCCCGCGTTTTAAGAGTTTAACCCTTAAAGTGAGGATATCTCGCCTTCCACTGCATCAATTTTGACCGTTCTGTGTTTACCTGTCTCTTGCGAGTCTCCCAACATCATCGAGACACAATACTAAATGTCTGTAGTATCCCTTTAATCTATTTTTTTGCCTCTGCCTCTGCTATCTGACATTGTTCTGCATAGTTCAATAACGTTATTTAAAAAAAGCCTTATACCACACTATCTTCTCTTTTTACTTACTATTACTGCAAAGGGTACTTCTATCCTTAACAGCAACATCACCAGAAGGCATAATACAATAATAACTTTATTTCTAAGGCTGCCAGTTGGCTCATAAGGGGTCAACATTTCTGCTATATGTTTTGGGGCCAGACCCAGTGCTTTAAAAGTGATCAGTAAAATGTACCTTACAGTGATGTATCATGGGAGCAGTGTTACAGTGAGCGCATGTCTCCACGTCCATGCAGACAGCTTTCTCTCACTATTGTGCTGCAAGAGGGTTCACGAGGAACTTGTAGGAGAGAGAATTACGTTTTGAAATTAAGTGAATTCCATTTAAAAAAGTTTATTTTGACTGTTTCTGTGAACGCTTGCTCTTTACTGCCTCCCGGAGGAGGTCATCGTAAATAACCAAGTGAATTCATGAAGCGTTTCCTCAGTGCGCTCACTCCTCCTCCACTGTGCCACTGGTCACCACTCCTCTGAGGTCAGCGTCTCCAGCCTCTTAGTTTGTCATATTTTGTTTTTGTTCACGTACGCCAATACTATGAGTGAAATGTGTTTGCTTTTTATCCACGGAGCTTTGGTGAAAAGAAATGAAAAGCGCGCCCTGCCTTTGTTCGGATATCTTTTAAAATATTAACAAGTTGTCATGTCATCTCTGACTAGAAGAGGAGAGAGATGCCCTGCCTCGGTGAGAGGTACACACTGGGTAAGTCAGATTTACTCATTATGAACAGGATGTGGTATTTGTAACATCATTTTATGGTCTTTATAGAGTTTCATATAAGAATAACACTTTAAGACAAAACAACTCCCAAACATTTGGGTGTGGTAACAGTTATCCACGTCGATTTGACATCTAATTTCCCCCTAACGAAGCCCACGTACATCCTCCTGATGATTTATCTCTCAGAGCTCACAAGTGCAGCATCACCGTGAGCCCGTCGGCTTTTCTGCAAGTATCACCGAGAGAGACCGTCAGCCCAAGGAACGTCCCAGTCCTGAGGGTGCCGGAGGGTCCAGAGGCGACCCTCATCGGAATATGTGCCAGAGAGCGGACGCTGTCCCGTCATACAAGTCCCTCCCTGGAGCCGTCGGAGACCGCGTCAGGAGCACCATGTCCTCTGGTAGTGGGACTATATGCAGAGGCGCTATGTCCGCGAATCTGGGCTTTGGGAGGTCAGACAGGAAAGTTGCGTGCTGCGAGAAGTGCTCCGCGACCCTTGTTGCCCTGAAGAAGCAAGCTCTGAGCCTGGCTGTTCACCATCACTTCTCTTGCAAGGTCAGTTCACCACGGGGCTGGGCTCTGATGGAGCTGCTCAGGGATGTGGCGGAGCAGGAATGCACTTAAGATCAGTCTGCTCACTTTTAGCTTGATAGGAATCCCAATGAGGAAATGTTGGCATATGAACAAAATGCAGGCTGATGCAAGTAAACACATCCCAGGACTTTTCAGCAGGTGGTAGTACAGGGTAATAGTTGACAATAAATGTAGAAACTAATAATAAAAATGTAGAATGAGTCCTGGATGGTCTTTATGCAACTGATGGAGTAATAAGGTCATATTTAATCACCCCAAATAAACTTATTCACAAGGATGCCTGTATTTTATCCCTCATATTTTCAACAAATGAATATATAATTTAGTTTAATAATATTGGATATAATATAATATAACTCAATATAAAATAATATTATAAAATCTAGAGCTTATTGATAACCCGATTAATCAATTTGTTGATTGACGGAAAATTAATCAGCAGCAGTTTTTTATTAAGTAAATATCTAAGTTTATAAGTAAAAAGAATCGACTGGTCCCAGTGTCTAATGTGCTGGTTTTGTTTGTCTGCTATGACAGTGAATTGTTCATAATTAGGGTGTGGAGTGTTAGTTAGACAAAACAACCAATATGAATATGTCAGCTTGGGCTCTGGGAAAGGCAAACTGTTTTTGTTTTGCAGACCAAAAGATTAACTGATTACTTGAGAAAACAGAAACAAAAATCAAATTGAATCAATACTGAAAATAATCACGAGTCGCAACCCTCACATAATAAAACACATGTAGGCTTTTTAAATAAAGCTGCCACTTCTAACACATTTTCTGTAGTGCTGTATGTTGAAGTCAATTAGAAAGTGTTTTAATGTCCATGTGGGCCCATCAGTCTCGACAGCGCTGCCCCTGAGAGGAATGCACATTTCTGCATCCAGCTGTACATCTGTCACCACGAACATCCATCAAACACACTCCAATCGACAAAGTAAACCAGTGCCATTCCTGCGTGAGTGGTTCCAAATGGGCATGAATATTTCATCTTGACATCCCTGTGTCATCTCCACAGACCGCTCCATTGAGGGAGGACTCTTTATTTTTGTCCTCCTAAGTGGGATGGGGCACAGCTATAGCGTCATGTGTTTTGGAGAGAGACCACAGAACAGAGCAATAGAGCAGGAGAGTGACGGTATCTTGTGGCCGCAGACATGGTCAGAACAAAGAAATCTGATAAGCAAGCGAGCTCCTTGCAGGTTTATTGATCCGAGCATGATTTTTCAAAAGCATCTTGTCTCTGTAATGTCATCTTTTTAGTGGGGCTTGCAATCTGGCTGAGATGGAAAGTACAGTCGCCATCTGGCTACGAGAGTACATTTAGTCCTTTATATATCTGTCATCATTTATATATGAGAAATGCAAGACGCCCAAACCTGAAACAGAAATTTACTGGTGGTAGAATTAGCCTAGTTTGCCAATTTGGTGTAGAATAAAGAAGATATTATGGCATATGTGATTTAATTAACCCTGGATATGGAGATTTCTGGAGATATTTAATGCCTAATGCTTTAGTACTTTTGGAATTTTAGTGACTTTGTTTTACATAATAATTGAGAGCTCTTACAGTACTCCTCTTGGGGAATATGAATCACTAGCAATGTGCTCAGGGATGGGATGAAGAAGGAGTGTGTTAGATATTGGTGGGTGTCAAGGGCAGACTGAACAGGATGTGACACAAGAGTGTCTTTGTCGGGATGAAAAGCAAGATGATGGTTTCATGTTCATTTTGTTAGATATGAGTCAATGCTGGGGACTTTAAAGGGGACATATCATGCTCATTGTCAGGTTCACGTATTTTGTTGCATGTCTACATGCTTTAAAGTTTAAAAAACACAAAGAAATTCTGATATACTGTCTGAATTTTCAGTGCACCCTCTGTCTGAACATGCTCTGTTTTAGCGCCTGTCTCTTTAAACCCCACCCCTTTAAACTTTTTTAAGCATTGTGTCAGAATTTAACAAATGTTACTTTATGATTATCGTCCAGCTTGAGTTAGGGTTGGGGTCAGCAGGGAAAATGAAAATAAAATTCTGCGCTGTGACATGTTGTTCTCCCTGAATTGGTGGTTCACAGCAGAGATTCATTACATTTGTGTTCACTTTAAGTAAGTACGTTTTTGCTAACTACTTTTAATGATTACAGGGGTATTAATCAATACTACTGACTCCTTGATTACTTTGCTAAGTGCTAACATTGCTTGCAGTGCCCTCCCACGACTCCATTTCCATATGCACAGTGATCAGTCATGTAATCCTCAAGCCAGAAACCAAACAAGGCAAATTAGCTTTGTTATTATGTCTTCACCAGAAGCTTTGTGCTGAATCTCTGATCTCATTATCTTATCTGTAACAATACCATTACAGGCTACTTCTAGTAACCTTAGTGAGTACTTCAAAGCATTCACTGCCAAGTTTACCTGCAATTTTTGTTTTTTGCAGGACTCTGGTGACCTGTCTGTGTTTCTTCTCGACAACCTTCGCATCCATAGTCGGTCCACCACCGAGTCCAGGGACCGAGAGAGGGAGCAGGGCGAGTGTGGGGCCTGCGGCGTGAACCTCAACCAGCTCAAACAAGAGGCCGTCCATTTGGCTCTGAGCAGGGGTCAGCCATTAGCTAAGCCTCCCTTTGAACCCAGCTTTAGCGCTGGTACACTGCTGGGCCTAAGTGAGACAAAGCATGGAGACAGGGCTCCATGGGAAGCTGCCATGGCTGTGCATCATCCCCACAGTCGCACCCACAGTCCGCACAGCCCAAGAAGCCCGAGGACGCCTCAGAGGACCCCTCAAACCCTCAGACGGAGGGGGCCCAAGCTGCCCAACCCCGATATGGGCCGCTGGGTAGAGCAGCAGCAGCAGCTGGTCGCTTCAAAATCTGCATCCAGCGCTGATGGTGTCACCATGTACCCTTACCATAAGGTACCCCTAAAAGCATTCTCTCACCACTAAATCACACATAACACATCCCTATAGTGTGCATTCCCCTTTTAATGAGCTATATGGGTAAAGTACGTCTTCACGGGTGCTCATGTCAGCAAAGCAATGATTCATAGTGCCTAATCAGAGCCTATTTAGATCTCATGGTCGTTGTTTAAAAGTACTTTTGCTAATGGAATGGAATTGGGTCATGATTTACCCCAGTCATAAAAGCCAGCCAGTCAAAAGCACTTGTGATCAATAGGGGGATGGTCATATTTAACAGGGTGGCTGGTGGCTAAATATGCATTACTGTGATGGAAGCCGCACCAGATTGAGCCCGCCCTCCCCCAAGTCCCCAATGTCATAAACCTGAACAAGGTGAGTGAGTGTTTTAGAGTATTTTATACATGTTGGTTCAACTTTTTAAATGTTTCTTTAGTTTTCCTCCTGATCCATATGGAGAAATGGAAAATATAAGTATCCAACCTTTGACGTACTACTTGTAGATAGCATGTGACCTGGTTGACAGAATCTTCACGGACAATTGACCATTTCCCAAACACCAGCTTGGAAGAGCAATCATCCAATTATAGCTTAGCAACAGTAATTACGCACATGATGGGGCGGTGCGTTGTAGTAAGAGCGACACTCCGTATATAAAAATGTGTAATTTTTTAAAACACAAGAGCAAAAGTGCAAAGACTTGATTATACAATGTGTTTATCTGCTCTAACATAAGCTCCAAACAATAGCATGTCTGGCTAGCTAGGTTTCCTACTGTAGTAACCTAACCTAGCATTGCTTACAAGGACGAGGCGAGTTTCATACCAAAATATCTTGTGGAGTTACAGGCTAAATAAATAAATAAATCTGTTAACGACAGCTCATGTGTGGGAGCTGGTCCTGGATGCTATCAGAGTGTAGGCTAACGTTCAGGAAGTTTAGGCTGTATTCCATCCACAGCCAAACCCGTTATCTGTGATAGCGTCACGTCCAAAAACACATCAGTTAATGTTAGTCCTCGTCTTAAAAGTTTTTCCTCTTGAAAAGTAAAAAAACGGGCAATAAACGATAAGCCTAACCTCTGTCTTCTTTATCCATGCAGCTTAACCCAATGTAAGCCTATGTTAGCCGAAGGCGAATGGAGCTAGCATTAGCTTAATTAGCTAGGTGATAAGATCTGCTGGCAACAACCTGCAAAATAGACTGCTTTTGTACTTCTGTCTGAAATCAAGCATACATTGTTTTAAAAAGTACTAAGAACCTTAAGTTGCAAAGCTGCCACCACTATCATTCTGTGCTCTGTCAGAACGGGACGCTGGACATAGCAACAGTAACTGAAGGGGCTTGGGGTGGTCAACTGGACTGAAAAAGCCTTGAGAGCAATATTGTAATAAACCTCTTGTTCTTAATCGACTTGTCTTATGAAATTGGACAATAACAATGCAACATGTTACTCAAATTAAACTGTACTGAGCTTTGCCAGACTGCATTAGAAATTAGCGAGGCGTGCCAGCTAGAAGAGCAGATCAATACAGGTTCATGAGGTGGAATAATATGAGACGAGTGAAAGTGGAGGACAAAGAGTAAGGAGAGAGGAGACAAAAAAAGGAGGGTGGAGGAAAAATGGATTGCAGAAGAAGAGAAAAGGAAATTGAGTGTTGTAAGATGGGAGGAAGGAAAGGAACGATAGAACGAAAGGACTGGAGAGATGGGCGGGAGAGGAGAAAACAAGAGATAATGAAGGACTACAAATACAGAGAGAAATCAGAGCAGAGGGAAAGAGAAAGCGAAGATAAAAAAAGGTTATGACAGATTGTATGAGTCAACAAGAAGACAAGAGGAGGGGCGGGGGAGTATCTATACATTATCCACATCAACTATGGCTTCATTAATTCACTTAGCCCTGTCTTTATTCTCCACCCAGTCTCCTTCCAAACCAACTACTCCTGCAGTTCTTCCACAGCTCTAATTGGCAGTTTATGGTTGAATATCATTACTAGAGAAAAAACTGAGCATTGTTATCTTGCCCCAGAAAAAGGCTCTGACGTTGATGAGACGTGAAGCTTGAGAGCGCTGGAATACAAACATGTTGAGCCTGCGGCCTGTGATGAGTCCCAGTGACTTCATGTTGAGCAGCAGCAACGCATGTTGAATAGGTCATGTTGCATACACACGGTGTACAAAACACACGCCTTGGAGCTACAGCTGTGTAAGTAATGCTTTACATGAAGCTGCTTGACTGTGTGTGTGTGTGTGAGTCAGAGGCAGTGATGTTGACTGCTCCTCTTCCGAGTCATGTTTTAAATTCAAGACAGCAGTCACTAGAGCCATCACAAACTATTCATTGCGCTGTAAGTGCAGCTAACCAGAGCCGTAATATGACTAATGGTTCCTGTTTAACCTACTGCGCTCTCGGCCTAGATGCCCTAGACAGACACGCCCCACAATTATCGTCCCCAGAGTAATTCCTGTGATAATAGCCCCTTTTGGAGTGGGTGCAGGAGTGCAATTACTGATTTTCATTTTTATAACGAGCTCTCTCCCTCCAGCAGGCTTCAGATGATGCTGCACTGGTCCGTGGTGACGTCGGGACTGTACAGACGAGCTCAAAGATCCCTCACATATCCAGAGTGGTGACCATCGCCAACACTGCTGCTATGTCCCTTTTAGCCAGGTAAATATATATATATATATATATATATATATATATATTATTGTTATATGTACTGTATATATGTATATATCAGAACAGCACCTGTTGTGTGTAAAATGTGTTGTATTCCCAGCATGTCTGCACTGGTTACACCCTTTAGATTTAGTGGTATGACATGGCGTTCATTCTTCCCTGTAGGGCTGCAGAGAAGCTCAACCTGACATCGAGGAAAAAAGGCCAGGCCTCTGATCCAGCTCCTGCTCATTTCTCCACCTGCTTCAGGGAGTTGATCCAGAAAAACCCACCACCCGTCCCCTCCTGCCTGCTCCAAGCTGCCACTAGAACCAGAGACTCACCCAGTGTTGCCAAGGTAGACCGCTGGGCTCCAAATTCCAGTAGATTTACTGTAGGAACACTTTGGTTTGGGTGCAATTTGTAATAATTAGAGTAATTCTTCACAACTACTTTTATTCTAATTAAAATTGGATGAATGATTAATTGTGGAAATACATTTAAGCACTCATATTCACGTCCAATTATCAGTAATACAGTGAACATTTTACTTGTCAGTATTTGTAATTCTTATAATAATAACTAATTGTCAAATATTATATACTTAAAGGAGTAGTTTGACATTTTGGGAAATACACTTATTCATGTTCTTGCTGAGAGTTAGATGAAAAGATTAATACCACTCTCATGTCGTACAGTAAGTATGAAGCCTCAACCAGTAGCCAATTAGCTTAGCATAATCCACAGAGGAGGTAAGCAGCACGTAATTCCCTGTACAACCACAACTTTCAGTTTGTATATGGATTAATCAAATGAAATTTGAATGTTTTTATTGGTAAACATTTGAGGTCTCGGTGGCTGGATTTGTATTTGAACTTTGGACACTTAGAGGTTAGCTAGTTCAACCTGCTTCCACTTCCAAGACATAAGAGTGGAATTATTATTGTTCTTTAACTCTCAGCAATAAGCATAATAATAAGCATATTTCTCAAAATCTCAAAGCTATTAGCAGGTGTTAAAACCAATCATGATCTGTTCTGTTCTGGGTGAAATAATTCTTTCAAAGGTCTAAAGGCCTTAACGTTAACGTTGCTAACAATCGTTACATTCCTACGACTATGACTCGAACACTGTTTCTATATCAAACACCTAAAAATGAAGGCAAACATTTCACCCAATAATAAATGATGACAGAGCTAACAGTATTTATCTGAGGTGGAACCGGAGGGTAGATGCCACGATGACGGCGAGCGACGGCTTTTAGCTAGACAGCGGGGCACAACAGAGAGACTCAAATGCACTAAATGTGCACTCATGAAGACCAGTGCAGCTTGGGTTCAAAGTTCAATGCATTTGAACTCTAAACAGCTCTTTGCAGCACATCACATACATCAGCGCAGGACAGTTTAAAGGGGAAAAACACACCATATACTCAATAATGGAAGCAGCACACAGCCTGTTTTCTGCTAATGTGTGTTGTAAAGAGAAAGACAGCATGCATTATCTAATGTGTGCTTACAGTATACACACACATTCCACATCCAAATAGAAAATAGAAAAAAGTTCCCAACAGTCATCTTACTTGAAGTGTCTTCTTAAGACAAGTGTACATGCAGTACCAGAAGACAATGGCACTGACTTGATGAAGATACTGCGTAAATACTTAAAATAGGTCTGGACTGGTGGTGAATCTTTGGAAGTATATACTACCATCCTCGCCCACAACCACCATCTTGGAAGTGGTTTTACTACCCCTGTTGCACAGTAAAAAGATCACAGTCAATTTGGAGGAGATCCTATATCACGCCTTCTTATGATACACTGTAATGTGGTGCTAATGTCTCCGTCTTGTTCCTCCCCTCCCTTCCACTCCCCTCCTCTGGGAGAAACTGGGGGGATCAATATGGCTGCCTGCGCTCCCCTTGTCTCAGATAGACGGACTCTTGGGTTGAGTCTAGAGTTACAGATAAAGGCTCAGATAGACCCGACCACCAGCCACACCTGCCCGAGCACTCAGCTCTGTGTGCTTCTGCGTGCCAGAATATATTTACAAGTGTGTGAGAGCGGAGGGGGATTTTCTCCGCTTGTAAAATGGGTCTCTTGAATAATTTAACCCTCATAAATAGAGTTTGACACATGTTCAATAGGGTTAGGGAGCCACTTCTTGCTTAAGGTATTACAATTATGATTTGGAGAGAGAGGAGAAAAACAAATCCTTTACAGACACTGGGAAATAATCATGTGGCAGATGGAACATGGCTTTCAGATATTCAAAATATCAATGACGGATGATGTCATCGTGGTGTAATGCAGTCCTGGACAATTTCAAGAAAACCGCATTCGACTGGGTGTCATGGCACACAGGGCTATTCATAATCTTGCAGACCTGAATCCTGATTAAGTATCATTTTATAATTGGTTTATCAACCTTAATAGAGCTTATAATCTTTTGTGAGGTAAATGTTGCCTTGTCTTCCTGCAAGGCAACATTTAACTATGAGCCTTGTTAAATGGCTGTCAGAGTCAGGATCTAACTTAATTTAAGACCTTAAAGCCTCTAAATCCGAAGGCTTGCTGTAGAGAACTGCATTAAGGAATTAATGTCATGACATGCAGAAATATAGCGGGAGGGTTTTCATATATAGCCATGCAGTTGTAAGTGGTTTCTGCACTAACTGGATGAACTGGCCGTCTAATGCAGCCTAAAGAAAAAAAAAATTTTTTTTTTTTTTTTTTAAAATATCAGTGAACATAAAACAACATACAGCTCATTTTTGTGTTTTCATTGATGGCTATGAAACAAGAGCACAGATTGCCAGACATGTTAAAGGGTAAGGCAAGGCAAAGTGTATTCAGCCTATATAGCACATATTTAGCAACAAGACAAGTGCAAAAGAAACACCTAAAAAAGACATTCAAAAACAATTAAAAACAGTCTTTAAAGAGCCAAAAGTAAAAAGCTATAAACTACAAGCATAAAAGTAACAGTGTAGTTTAAGGTTTGAATAATTATTTGATTTGATAAAAGGCAGTGGCAAACAGCAGACTTGCAGCAGACTCAAGGTTTGTTCTATGGTGCATAAAAAGTGAAAGCTGTTTATCCACGTTTAGCTTTGACTCTGGAGACAGAAAGCAGACAAGTACCAGACCACCTGAGAGGTCTGGATGGTTCATAATTTAGAAGAAGATCAGAGGTAAACCATGCAGTTATTTATAAAACAAAAGTTTTAAACCAAATTTTTAAATATTCTTTGACACAAAGGAAGCTGGTGTAAAGACCTCAGATCTGGAGTTATGTGATCAGCTGCAGCTAAACGTTTTTTAGGGAGTCCTGTAAAGACATCGTTACAGTCGTCGATACTCTGTGACTTACTTAAAACTAATTTGACAAAATCTTAGTAAGTAAGGAGGTGAAAGGGAAATACCAAAGTATGCTTTACGTTACGTACTGCCTTGTTGTTGGCCAAGTGCCTTCATCATTTCAAGTGTTTATTGTAAAAACAAAAGTTATTTGTAAGGGTACAATTTAAGTGAAGTCAGTGGGAAACATTCAGCAGATACACTATCTTTAGATCGCCGTCCCAATGCTTTTTGACATTTAGTTTGTTCTACCAAGGCTTCCCTTTCCAACCTTCGTTGCATAAAATAGTATCTTAGCCTCCCATGGCGGAGCAGCAGGGGCTCAGAGCTAAAGTCTCACTATTACTTCTCTCTATTTGATGTCAGGCTTCTGAGTTAAAACCCTGTTTTTGTAAACACAAACATTTCAAAAGTAAAAAGAATGCATTGCAGCCGACAGCGTAACAGGAAGCTTTACACAGCCAATTATAAGATTTTGTGGCATATATGTGTATGATATATTTTTCTCACTCTGTTCTGGAGTTCGGGAAGTCTCTTAGATGGCTAAAACTCCCTGAATTTGATATAAAGGTCTTTTTTAACCTTGCTGTTTTGAAGCTCGTTCTTTTTCCCCCATAAGTTTGCTGTTGGTATTTATTTTCAAAATTTAAACTTACATACATGCACAGGCTTCTTATGAAATCACTTACATAGCTACATGTTGCTCTGTAACAGCAGCATTCAAGAGTCAGTACACCTAAATTAAAACAACACATTTTCAATGTGTTTCAAGTATACAGCCATGCTAGCAGCTCTGTGAGGCTGGACTTAGGCACAGTGGTGCTTTGAGGTAAATGCTAGTGTTAGCAGGCTCACATTGATAATGCTAACATGCTGAGGCTTTAGCCTACAACCATGTTAGCCATGTTAGTTTGGTATTTTACCATGCTAACATATGCTAATTAGCACTAAACACACAGTACAGCTGAGTTTGGTATAATGTCATTAGTTTGGTAGGTATTTGGTTATAAACCAAAGACGGCTATTGGAAAAATAGTTTTAGTTTTACCTGATGATGGCGAAAAGACTAAGGGTCTAGCAAAGATAGTACAATTCATCCTCTGGAAACCATGAACGTGTGTACCAAATTTCTTGAAAGTCCATCTTAGTTGTGTAGATATGTCAGACTGGGCCAAAGTGGTAGAACCACAGACAGATTATGTTTAACCCATTAAAGTGTTTTACAGTTCATAACCTAATGCAATTTTGAACATGCCACCATCTCCTTCGGTGAACAGGTCAAGGTCTCGCTGAGGGTGAGCCCAACGCTGTCAGAGGGCCAACCACCTGTTCTCCGTATTGACCAGTCCAAGAGAAGAGTGACCATAATGGAACCAGTCAGCAAAGGCCAACCACAGGCTACAATGACACTAGGCAGGGATGGCAAAAACCAGCTGAAGACCTTCAACTTTGACGCTGCATATCCTCAGGACTCAAGCCAGGTTTGGTTCTTCATCCAACATTCGTCCGGCACATTCTGTGTCTTCTCAAATATTCAATGTATATTTCCCCATCTGTACATTACACACCACGGTTGGTTTTCTCTCTCTGTCTGATGACCTGAAAGCTGATAGGGCTTGGACAGCCACCACAATTACACTGTCCATCAATTCTATTCAAGCTCTGCTTACAGTATCTAGGCCCAAGGAAATCTACTGAATCAGTGTACTTCTTTCATTTCATTGGATGTACCATCTCAGTGCAGTAGAGAATCATTATATGCTCGTCATCCTTTGTTCTCCATGACCAGGCCGAGGTGTGTGCGGGCGTCTTGGCTGATGTCATCCGCTGTGTGCTCAGTGGCAGCGATGGATGTGTTCTGGGTTTGGGATGTGCTGATGTGGGTAAGTAATCGGTCGCTGTGAGGGGCCACGGGTTAAAATCTCAAGATGAGAGTGGGATGCTTTTATCTGTGCTCCCCCGCGCCCCCCTCCTCCTGCTACTCTGTCCCACTCCTGCTATCATTCACTCTTTCTTTATCACTTAAACTCCCTTTTTACGTTTCCTCTCTCCGTCCTCTTATCAATTATGATACACATTTCCACATTGTTTTTTTTGACAGAAAAGCATTGCCATTTAGTCATTCATCTTTCACCTGTTACTTAGTAAATAACAGCCTATTCATAAATTATACAACACACATGCTTTTTCAAAAGCCTGATAGGCATTTCAGCATACTGCACAAAAAGACTGCTGTAGCACTGTGCTCAGAGGGGACTGTAAACAAAATGGACTGTAATACGTTGGTATTAGAGAGATGGAACCCTGCACTTAGCGTCAGTGAAGGAGTTTAATAGATTTGCACACACACACACAGACATACACACACACACACACGCACGCACGCACACACACACACACACACACACACACACACACACACACACACACAC